TGGGGCCTGCCCAACTGGGGATCTACCATTTTTCCATCCTCGCAGGGCTATACTTTGCAGTGAGCAGTGTTTGTTTGTATGTTTGAATGTAGGCATTTGTATGTATGAATGTATGGGTGTATTTGTGTGGACCATACTCATATACACACTGCTAAAAACACACACTGATACACATACACACTCATATACAGACACACACTGACGGATCCGGATACACACATGCACGGATACACACATTGACACACATACTAGCAGATATACAGATACACAGGTACAGACATTCAGATACACAGACTGACACACATACAGATACACAGACTCACAAATACACATACAAATATACAAACACACAAGCTCAAATACACAAACACATACATACAGATACATAGACACACTAACACACAGATTCTCAACACTGGATTCGTGATACTGTACAATCCATAGATAGTCTTTGATGCATGAGGATCATAACCCACATTTTGATATAAAATACTCTATCATTGCTGAAAGACCAGCAGAACGAGGAATGGAATTCTGCTTGCACTCATTTTCATTTTCAACACAGAATTCTGGGAGATTTGTAGAAACATATTTTTAAGAGCTGCTGTGTCTGAGACAGGCTTTTTCAAAAAATTGCTATGGGATATGTAGGTGATGTGGAACACCAGAGTTTTGGATTTATAATAATTATAAACAGATTAAGTCCTGATCCTGACGCTTTGCACTCTATGTCTAATGTATAAATGAAAACTCACAGAAAAAAAAAAACTTTCCAAGCAAGAGAGAAAAAAGAAAGAAGAGTAGAATGAGGTCCAGGTCCAGTGAGGGAACATTTAGTGCTGAGAATGGAATACTCATTCAATGGAAATGTATGAGTCATTCAAACACACAGACACACAGGCCTTTTACTGCCCACATCTATAGCATAATTCACTGCTGTTCCTGCCTTAATTTTTTATTATATCAGCATCTCTGTGACACTTCAAAGGGGTTCAATTAAGAAATAACTAGGAAGGTAAAAGGGTGTAATTCATGAGTGTCCAAAATCCAAAAATTACTTTAATTTAAATTGCAAAATACAATTAATCCTCTGACCACCAAAGGTTAACATTCTTAAGGTTAAAAGAGAATGTGATCACTGTTTATCGCTTCCAGAAGTTCAGAGGAGGACTCCCTGTCACCATTCAAGCTTTGCATGTTCCATATCTCCCAGGTGTCCCTATTTAGGAGAGACAGGCCCTGTTCTGGGCCTGAATTCCTTCTGTCCCTCTTTTCTAGGAGCTCCATATTGTTGGTGTGTCTGAGTGAATGACATAGCTCCATATCAATAAATGCACAGTAATGTATCTTTAAACTACATTAAATGTGTCTAGAAATCAGTAGGTGTAAAATAGATACATTGCTCATGTCTTAAGTTACATTTTTGTTCCATAAATTGCCCCTGTCCACAACTCCACTCACAACCCTAAAATGAAAGTGGCTATCTTTGTTGAAGGTTCATACTATTGTATTCGTCCTTCCCCACCTCCCCTTCCCCCCTTTAAAAAGGTGTGTTACCTTTCTTCCAGCACCTCACTGGTCTCTCCGCGTCTGGCTACTTGGCTGAGATCATCAGATTTGATGATCTCAGGAAATCCAATGCTTTCCCATAGGTAGACACCAGGATAAGTACATTAAACTGTAGTTGTTCTGATAACTATAGTATCCCTTTAACTTCTAAAATGTGCACAGTTCTAGAAGATACTGGTTTGGAGTTAGGCATCCTACCGTCTTTTAGCGATAGTTCACCTGCAATCATATCATTCTCAGCCTGCTGGAAAAGATTGGAGATCCAGGCCACAGAATGCACACACAGGTGAGGCTTAACAGTGCCAGCTGCCTTTTTCTAAATGTTTTTGGACTACGTCTTTCATCATTTTCTGGCAGTCATTGGCTGGCAGAGAATTGGGTAATTATAGTGGAACAAGATTAGTAGCTCATAGTAGTTGGCAGGGGCGTATTAGCCGCGAGGCAAACAAGGCATTTGCCTTGGGCGGCATTTTTCAGGGGGCGGCAAAAAATGCCGCCCCCAAATGCCCAGGGCAAATGTCTTGTTAGCCTCACAGCTAACAGACATGCCGGGCGCTGGGCGCTGGGCGGCTGGCGAGGGACCTCTTCCTCTAAGCTGTCTGCTCAGCTCCCTCGCGCGCCACAGAGTGAGGCTGGGTGACGGAATATGACGTCATATTCCGGCTCCCAACCGCCCTCTGCGGCGCGCGAGGGACCTTTCGGCCACCAGGGAGAAAGAGGAACCCCCCCCCCCCAGCACTCCCAAAGGTAAGGAGGCTGGGGGGGTTAAATAAAAAGAAAACTTTTTTTGATGTGAGTGTGTGTGTGTTTGTGTCTAACTGTGTGTGTTTGTCTAACTGTGTGTGTTTGTGTCTGACTGTGTGTGTGTTTGTGTCTGACTGTGTGTGTGTGTGTGTGTGTTTGTGTCTGACTGTGTGTGTGTGTCTGACTGTTTGTGTCTGTCTGTGTGTGTGTGTATTTAGAAGGTGAGGTGGGGGGGGAAGGGTTGGGTGGTGCCTGAGTTTTGTCCTGCCTAGGGCAGCACAAAACCAGGATACACCACTGGCAGTTGGGCATCCCTTCCAAGTTACATATGTACTTCTAACATTTCTAAAGGACAAAACTCTCTACTTGGGTCTAAAGATGCAACAATGCTTCTAACATAATTGTTACTTCGCAGCTAGTGATGACTCGCATTAGCTGCGTGGGAAAAGAACAACCTACAGCAATGAATCACTAATTTAAAACAGAAAACTTACAATATCATAATTATTATTATAATTTACTAAGTTAATTAATGGCTAATTATTAGCTTATTTATTAAGCCTTGAATTTGCATCCAAACTGGAAAACTGGAATTTACTAGTTAAAGGGGATAAGAAAGTTTCTATGGGGGGCGTGGCTTGGGCGCCGGACGGAATGGCGGCGTGAACCACGAGCTCCCTCCAGGCTCACAACACTCACCCGCCTCGACAGCCCCATCGACGCCCAAAATGGGCAAAACACACAAGCCACAGCAAACCGTGGCGGCAGCCAACACGCCGAGGGGGTCGCAAGCGCCAAACATGCGCCAGTACCTGACGGCCCAGACGGACCATGCCTCTCAGGCCTCCAACACCCCAGAGGCCTGGGGCCTGGCCCGCCCGACCTCACCCAGGGATGAACAGCACGGCCTTGAACAGGTACACCATCCGACAGACACCCCCCTAACCCAGCTGGACTGGGTATCACTAATACAGAACCTACCCACTAAGAGTGACCTGAAGGAGGCTAATGCCGCCCTCCATAAGTCCATCACTGGGGAACTCCAGGCCCTGAGGGAAGACATCCAGGGGATTCATAATAAACTGGCCCAATTGGAGGCGGATTGTGACCATGTGACATCGGCACAGAATGCCACAACAAACACCATACGACGACAAGAAGCACAGCTTAGCCAAATGGCCCTCCACATAGAGGACTTGGACAACAGGGGGAGGCGACAAAACATTAGAATCAGGGGTCTACCTGAGGAATGGGACCAGACATCCCCAGTGCGCGACACCCTCACCGAAATCTTTAACACCCTCCTGCAAAGGCCGACTGCGACGCTCATTGAATTTATCAGGGCGCACAGAGCCCTCAGACCCAGGGGCCCACCAGATTCCCCCCCCAGAGATGTAATATGCTGCCTAACACAATACCAAGTGAAGGAAGACATCCTGAGAAGTGCCAGAGACAAAAGACAAATCATGCACAACGGCACAGAAATACAACTGTACCCAGATCTCTCCCCGGCAACACTGGCATACCGGCGAGCCATGCGCCCACTCACACGAATACTGCAAACCAATAAGATCAGATACAGGTGGAGTTTCCCCACCGGGGTACAAGTCACCACAAGCAACGGCCCATTTACAGTACGGAACGGCGTAGACTTACTGGACCTAAGCAGAGAACTACAACTACCGCCGATACAACTGTCATGGCCGGATCCAATGGCCTTCTACGCCTATTCACCAGAGACGCAACGCCAGACACAACAACCACCCAGACCCAGAAGGACGAGACAACAGACAACTCGCCCTACGGGCACCAACATGTAAAAAGACCGTTTGAATTCCGCCCACCTTCCCAGGAACCCACAAAACACAACCGCAACACAGATAGATGTCGCTAGCCCCCGCACGAAGAAACCAGACCTCCTGAAAACACAGCGATGAAAAACCCCAGAACCGCAAGTATACACCCAAGAGATGACACAACCAAAGAGGTACAGCACAGAAACAAAAAGAGAGACTCAGAGACATACTCTAAGCCTGGAGGCCCAAAAGGCAGGACGGTTACAGGACCCCTAGGCCAGATGGGCTACCCCTGGACTAAACGGGTTGAAACCAGAGGATGGGGAGAGGGGAAACAGGAGAGCGCACTCCTTGCCCCGACACCGTAATAACAGGGAAAGGGGGGGGGGGCCGCCCCCCCGGCTGGCCTGGCCGCCAGAACCTAACCGCACTGTGACGATCCGTGGGGAGCAGGCGGTGGGCGATGCCGGCGGGGCACACCCGGGGTGGGGGCGCCTACCCGCACCCAGAGCAACAGGAACATTTAACACACAAACATCCCTTACAAACAGCACGACACACAGGGTACACTAGACAGGGTACACCCAACATAGACGCAGAGACAATAAGAGACCACACCGATCAGATCCTGAAGCAAGGAACTAGCCTACACAATCGGCCCTCACTAAGAGCACGCACGCGCCCCAACAAACTAACGAACAAGCCACGAAGAAACGAGGGACGCAAAAAACACATTAGCCAGGAGGGTCAAAGGGAACTTGGGGTAAAGGGGGGCGGGGACAAACGGCACATAAACTTCTGATACGAAATGTTGAAAATGTTGTTTTCACCTGTTGTGACTATATACTGGAATGTTAATGTTATTGTTATTGTCTACATCTTACTATCTAGTCGAAAACAAAAGGCTTCTCACAAAGATGCACACCCACACAAGCCCGAGAGCTACCACACCCAGAGGCGGGACAAGCAGACACGCTCCCCAGGAGCAGGCACCGAGGAGCCGCATAGGGAAAACACGAGACAGGACACACTACCAAGGAATCGATCCAGACGCCTGGACCCCAACCACTGCCCGACAGGCAAGGCGACACACGACAGGTGAGCAATCCACGCGCATCACTGGTGGTGCCGTGGACAGACGCTCCCCGACGCCTAAACCTAGCCATCACGATCAGTGACAAAGGTACCGAAACACTTAGGGAACACCTAAGACTACCTTAAATACCCTAACCCATACCTATCCCCACTCCCGACCCTCCAACCCGACACTGACCGCAGGACAAGCGACGACCAGAGATTACACACACCTCAGTGAATTAGGGCGAAACCACCCCCCACACCACCTGACGACAAAAACCAGATCAGACTAGACGACATGGCATTGACCCCAGAATCTTTGCACATTCTTACGATTAATGCAAAAGGCCTAAACAAACCTGAGAAGAGATCAGGAGCGCTCAGAGACTTCCACAAACAGAGGGCCTCAATAGTCATGATACAGGAAACCCACTTCAAAAAGGGAACCAGACCCAAACTGACAAATCAGCACTACACGCAGGGATACTATAGCGACTACCAAGGGGGCAAGGCGAGAGGGACAGCTATACTTTTTCACAAGAAGGTGCCATTCCAGGAGGGGGGATGTATGACAGACGATGAGGGCAGATACCTATTCCTTAAAGGGAAGATTGCAGACCACCAATACACACTTGCAAACATCTACGCACCAAACTCACAACAATATCGCTTCCTCAAACAGACATTCCGTAAACTCCAAGCCTTCACAGAAGGGACTCTTATAATAGGGGGAGACTTCAACGTAACGCTCGATCCGACATGGGACAACTCGACAGGCACTTCACACATCCCCACACAGCAAATTTCCACCATTAAATCCCTACTCCGCAGTCACCGCCTGGTGGACTGCTGGAGAGCCCACCACCCGGGCGTGAGAGACTTCACCTTTTACTCCCACCCCCACAACTCTTACTCACGAATAGACCACATATATACAACATACCACGACCTATCCCTAGTGTCCGATGCAACAATCAGAGTGGCCACATGGTCAGATCACGCCCCAGTTGCAATCAAACTCAAATCACCACTCTACCGCCCCACGACTTCGAAATGGAGACTGAATGAATACTTACTCACTAAACTAGAAGTCGTAACCCTCATAAGGGAGAAGATCAGAGACTACCTGCTAACCAAGACAGGGGAGCAAACATCCCCAATGATACGATGGGAAGCGCATAAAAGCGTGATAAGGGGCCACTATATACAACAGGGAGCAATAGCAAAGAAACAAGCAGAAGCTCGTCTCAAGGAACTGATAGCCAACATACACGAGACGGATGACCAAAACAAACAAACCCCACACCACACACACCAAACCCGACTCCTACAACTAAGACGGGAACTAGCCACACTACTACACTCTAAACACCACAGAGACGCAACCAGACACAAAGCCTTTTTTACATTACATGGGAACAAAAGCGGCAGACTCTTAGCCGCAATGCTGAGGAAACAGAGACAACACACATACATCGACAAGATTAGAGACAAACAGGGGACCTTACACCGACTCCCGACAGACATCATGAAAACAATACGTACATACTACACAGAACTATACGCACTCCCTCAACCAAAAACTGATACGGCGACAACGCGCCTCAGGGCTACTATTCGCGACTACCTGACGAAATATCAGACACCGTCACTAGACCCAGAAACAGCAGAACTAATAGACGAACCAATCACAATAGAAGAATTAGCACTAGCGATTAAGCTAACCAAACCAGGCAAAAGCCCAGGACCAGACGGTCTGCCGATCAAATACTACAAAACATATGCCGAAGACTTATACACACCCATGGTAGAGGCGTTCAACGCGATACGAGAAGGGAACCACATCCCCAGACAAGCCCTAATAGCCCACATCACTATTATCCCCAAGGACGGCAAAGATAGGGAACAATGCGGAAACTACAGACCGATATCACTAATAAATTGCGACATTAAACTACTGGCCAAAATCCTTGCAACCCGACTTACAAAACATATCCCTTCACTGGTCCACCCAGACCAGGTAGGGTTCGTGACAGGTAGAGAAGCCCGAGACAATACCATCAGAGCGCTCACTCTCATGCACGGGAAAGAGAGTATGAAAACGGGTCTTCTTCTGCAGTCAACGGACGCAGAGAAGGCCTTCGACAGAGTAAACTGGACATACCTCTTCGAAACACTGGCCAATGTAGGATTAGGACCGCACATGAGACAATGGATAGAGGCACTATATCGAGAACCAACAGCCCAAGTGCTGGTAAATGGGGCACTGACAGACGCCTTCCAAATACACAATGGCACGAGGCAGGGATGCCCCCTCTCGCCACTACTGTTCGTCCTTGCCCTCGAACCGTTCCTTACACACATCCGAAACAACACAGACATAACTGGCCTAACGACAGACACCACACATCACAAAGTGGCCGCCTATGCGGACGATTTACTCTTCATCATAACCAACCCTGAAATCTCCCTCCCAAACATCCAGAAAGACCTACAGATATATGGAGAAATATCCAACCTGAAGATCAATAACAGTAAATCGTTCATTCTTAATATTAGCATCCCTACCACACGGGTAAACTCCCTTCGACACAGCTTCCCCTTCCAGTGGGCCGAGCACAAGATCCGATACTTGGGAGTCTGGTTGACTAGGCAGAGTGGGGACATGCTTAAGGAAAACTTTACAAACACACTACAGACATTTCAAAAAGACATGCGGGAATGGGCACATCCTCACATCTCCTGGCTGGGGAGGGTACAAGTAATAAAAATGAACTTCTTACCACGCCTCCTCTATCTCCTCCAAGCCATCCCCATCGAGCTCCCGAGCCCCTTTTTTAAAACCCTTAGAACAGAGATGATAAAATACGTATGGAATGGGGGGAAACCAAGGGTGAAATTCACTATCCTGACGCGACCTAAAGATAAAGGAGGCTTAGCCCTCCCAGACTTCCACCTATACTATGTGGCCACACACCTACAGAGAGTTGTAGAGTGGACAAAAGACAGGGTACACAAACTGTGGAAGACGGTGGAGGAGACGGAGGCGGGTAGACCAATCTCGGGACTGCCATGGGACCGAAACGCGACGAACTGGGACGAAATGTCCATCTACACCAAACACACCCTAAAAATATGGAGAAGAGTAGCGGTGAAGGGAAACATATCGCCATACCCCTCTCCCCTCCTTCCATTGACGTTTAACAAAGACTTCCCCCCCGGGCTAGACCCGAGGGCCTTTAGAGGCATCCTTCCAGACACACACCCATGCTTACATCACGTCATGCAAGACGGGAAATGCAAAAAGCTTCCGGACATGTTGGGAGACGTACCCCCGACTTTCATGCACAACTTTCGATATTCCCAACTAACCAACTACATCCACACCCTACCACAGGGCTCAGCACTCACTAGAGAACATACCACAATAGAGGTGATATGCATGCACCCAGACCCGCTCCCACACGGAGTGTCCTTCCTATACACCATGTTGCAAACAGACATCCCAACTGAGACACCTGTATTTATGGGGAAATGGGAGAAAGCCCTGGGACACACATTGACAGACACAGAATGGGAATCCATCTGCTACCTCACACACCACTGCTCCACACACAGTAAAACACAAGAGACAGCCTACAAATTACTAACCCACTGGTACAGGACACCACACCTCCTACATCAGATAAACCCAGATCAATCTGGCCTATGCTGGAGATGCCAACGAGAAGAGGGAGACATGAAACACATCTGGTGGGACTGCACAAAAATTAAACCATACTGGCAAAACATACACAGAATGCTAGAGAAATTCACAGACGAACCACCCTCCTTGGAACCAGCAGCAATGCTCCTACACCACACTCCTACACCACACTCTAAGTACAAACGATCCATGACCATCCGAATACTTAATATAGCCAAACGGGTAATCCCCCAATACTGGAAACAGAACATAACACCTCCACTTAAGACTTGGTTCAGCCAAATGGAGGAACTCAGAATAACAGAAGAACTGACCATGACGACTAACGTGACCACAAAGACCTACACGGACATTTGGACATATTGGATCCTAGAGACAGCGAAGGAAGGCTTCCAAATGGAACTCGGAACAGACGTACGCCAAACCACGGACAGTTAGGCTTAGAACACCCACTAGACGACAGACGACGGAGACAACGACTACAGACACCCCCCTCCTCACCCTAACCCCGACCTTTCCCACCCCCTCTCTCCTAAAGACCCACACAGGACGATACCCCAATCAAAGCAGAAATTATTTCATATAGAGGAGACACTAGGGCCCTGAACGGAAAACCCATACGGGTTCACACACAACTCATAAATTCCAAGAGACACTAATGAAACATAGACCGAGCAGACGGGATAACCACAACATAGCCTGAGGGCAGCAACGAACCACGTTCAAACCCCCCCGAAATATGAGTCATAACCCTCTCAACACAGGTACATTGTACCCTAGATACAGGACACCCGGGACACTAAGGGGAGACTCACATTAATCTGCTACAGGCATAAAGCCCAACACTAAATTTAGGGACCTGAACGGCACCTAACAATAAAGGCTGCATACGAGGTCTGCGAACCTCAACACAAACATAAGGAGACCACCGGCTACTATACATGAAACGTATAAACCATGTAAACAAAACCCAATTAGGAAAACAAATGGCAGATGGTAAGATGTACTTGAAGGTGCTTGTGAACCTGGAAAATAGGGACTTGCAAGTCCGTCAACATTGTGGGCCTGCGAGCCCAAACATACATTGTTGTTTTCAAGGAAAAATTATGACTACTCACCTTAGAGACCTGCGAGTCTCCGATCTCCGCATAAGTAACACAAGAATAAATAAAAATTATATTCATAAAAAAAAAAAAAGAAAGTTTCTATGAGTTTTTGCCAAAAGCCATTTGGATGCAGATATAAGCCCCAGATGTTCAAATACGAGTTATCTCTACCATCTTAGCTGCTTTTACAGGGTTATTCCAACCACCAAGTCCATTTCTGCTTTTAGAATTGGTCACCGTGGTAGTCTGCTTGAAACACTACATATCTAGAGATATAATCAGTTTTGTGCCGGTTCACCAGTAACACCCTAGCACACGTGACTTAGGCAGACCAAAACTAAACGCAAAATATGGGAATGGTGAGCATGTGGGCGGAGCCTGTAGTTGTGGGAGGGGATATTGCTATAAATACACAGGTCACCCCTTCTTCTGGGCTGAGACTGTCTGGTTCAGTACAAGTTGGTCTTGGCCTAGTGCGGCCCATGCAAGCATTCATTTTACCTCACTCTAGTAAACAGCCTCCTCCCTCGAAGCTTATGGGGCACAGCTGTGTCTGACCCAGCTGCGGCTGTTACTATTCACACATTTTTTAAAATCTATTTATTTTATTTATTTATTTTCCTCTACAAAATTGTAAGTTTGTTCAGTCGGATATGTCAAATTTCACTACTAAAGCAAATTCAGCCTTTTTCAATCGTACATAGTATCACAGCGATGCCTCAATTAGGTTCATGCTTTTACTTACTGTATATTTGGCCTTATCGACTTTTATCATATGCAATTCAGTTGTCACCCTTCTTTTTATGTTTAATTTTCTGCCCTCCGGGTATTCATGGACTCATTAGGCCTACATTGTTTAGTATATATGTGACTAGAGATGTCGCGAACCGTTTGCGAACTTCCCGCGAAGCGAAGTCAGCTGACACATCCCGGCCAATCTCCAGCAGACCCTCCCTCCCACCTCCTGGACAGCATCCATGTTGAAGTTCACTTTTACTGGTGATATCATCGTTGTAATACATGTTACTGTTTTGAAACACTAATATTTGTGTTCAGCGAAGTCTCCCGAGTAGAACAGTACCCCCCATGTACAGATTTTATGGTGTCTTGGAAAGTTATAAGGTTAAATATAGTGCTAGCAAATTAAATTCCCTTTACTTTCGGCATGGGTTGTCAGGCAGGTCCCGCTTATTGTAATTAATTAAGATACCTAATTATGTAAAAATATTACATAAATATATATAGAATTAATATGTGTGTGTGTGTGTGTATATATATATATATATATATATATATATATAATTTTTTAAAAATATTTTTATTTATATATAGGTATATATATAGTGATATATACGTATATATATAGTGATATATACGTATATATTTATGTATATAGATATATTATTTCGTTCTACGTGTATTTTGATATAAATATATATTAATATCACAATACAGTTAGAACGAAATAAAACACATCTATATATTTTTTAATTATTTATTTTTAATTATTTTTTTAATTTTATTTTTTAACGTATTTACATTTTTTTTTAATTATATATATATATACACATATATACATATATATACACACACACACATACACAATACACAAGATCCAGCGCACTCACCTATCCACTAAACAGCAACTTCAATGTTGAAAAATTTTATTTGTTTTTTAAAAACACCTAATCTAGGCAAAAATAATGGGGGTTTAGTTACATTATATGATCATACAGTGCATAAGCCTGCCACAACGTCAATGTACCTCATCTTTGGCAGGTCCTACACTAACAGCCTAATGTCTGCTCTTATGAGATTAACCTACTTGGGGGGAAAAATTCCATCTGGGGCTCTCTGCAGTACAAGGCTAAATAGGGCCCTGGGATGAGGCACCTGTGACAGGGAGGGGTGCAAAACCAAGGAGTTGGCTAGACTCCCAAATATATATATAAACAAGAGGGGATTGGCTGCACTCACCTTAACATGCATAAATGGGGGTGCTGCTGGGGGCCAAATAATACAATACACAAGATCCAGCGCACTCACCTATCCACTAAACAGCAACTTCAATGTTGAAAGATTTTATTTGTTTTTTTAAAAACACCTAATCTAGGCAAAAATAATGGGGGTTTAGTTACATTATATGATCATACATTGCATAAGCTTGCCACAACGTCAATGTACCCCATCTTTGGCAGGTCCTACACTAACAGCCTAATGTCTGCTCTTATGAGATTAACCTACTTGGGGAAAAAATTCCATCTGGGGCTCTCTGCAGTACAAGGCTAAATAGGGCCCTGGGATGAGGCACCTGTGACAGGGAGGGGTGCAAAACCAAGGAGTTGGCTAGACTCCCAAATATATATAAAACAAGAGGGGATTGGCTGCACTCACCTTAACATGCATAAATGGGGGTGCTGCTGGGGGCCAAATAATACAATACACAAGATCCAGCGCACTCACCTATCCACTAAACAGCAACTTCAATGTTGAAAGATTTTATTTGTTTTTTAAAAACACCTAATCTAGGCAAAAATAATGGGGGTTTAGTTACATTATATGATCATACAGTGCATAAGCCTTTAAAAAACAAATAAAATCTTTCAACATTGAAGTTGCTGTTTAGTGGATAGGTGAGTGCGCTGGATCTTGTGTATTGTATTATTTGGCCCCCAGCAGCACCCCCATTTATGCATGTTAAGGTAAGTGCAGCCAATCCCCTCTTGTTTTATGTATATATATGTGTATATATATATATATATATATATATATATATATATATATATATATATATATATATATATATTTAATCGGTATCAGTCTACATGTAATTTGATATTAATATGTATATATAATTATATATATATTAATAGTAAAATACACCTAGACAGTGTATGTGTGTATATGTATATATATACTTAGATCATATATATATATATATATATATATAATCTAAGTATATCATTTTTTTTTTTTTTACACTTTATTAATTTTATTTGTTTTGATTTCCAGCTAGCAGGGGGACTAACTGTCATTACAGGCAGTCCCCCTGCTGGCTATGCAGCAGGCAGCTATCCCGGCCATGTGATTGTGAGGTCCTCACAAGGACCTCACTCTCACATGGCCGGGGGGGGGCTGCAGGAGGCTGGATCTGCCGCGGGGGGCTCCCTGGGAGTAAGTAAAGAAAGACCAGAGGGCGTACTATTACGCCCGGCGGCGTTTAGAGCCGTCTAAAATAGGGCGTAATAGTACGCCCTCCGGTCTTAAGGGGTTAATTGGCTAGGTATTGCAACTGACTCCCTAAATTTATGTCAGGCCCAAACTTGGGCAAGTATATGTGGATATTTAAAAAAATAAAATAAATACTGGATTTGTTTCACTTTAACAGCCTGTTTGATATGTGTTCGGTTATTGGGATTTGTTTATTGCATGCTTACTAAGTGTAATGGATCACCTGGCACCCCGACTGGGCACCTCCGCCAAAGAACCGCTTCCTAGCTGAAACAGGGGACAAACCGCAGCACTTCTTGCTCTCAGTCGCCGTAGCTTGACTGTGGCTCTGGAACCGCCACCTCCTTCCTGAGACCCGAAGGGAAAATTAGCTCTGACACCTTCGGGCACTGGATGACACACAGTCCTGAGAACTCTGGAACTGAATGGGGAATTAGCTCTAGTCCATACAAAGACTTTCCTCGTTGAATCCCCTGCAAGCTGGAAGAGCAGACACAGGAGTAAATCTTCTTTCCCTCCAATAACAGGATGACACACAGTTTGGAGTGTAAGCTGGAAGTTTAATGGGACACACTGGCCTTTTATACAATTTTTCAGGCCAGAGGAACACCCTCTGGACCTGATGGGTCACAAGAACACAAAGGACATAAAGCAATCAGAACAAACATACATTCTGTGACACGCCAATGTACAGCACACAATCCCTCCCCTCTGCTTAGGAGATAATTGAGTAAAGTCCTGTAAGTAACTTAATTATCTCCAGGCAGAAAAACCTAATTTTTACAAAGTTAAGAAAGTACCCCCAAATCCAACATATCCCCACATCCCCTCCCCATCACATCCCCTGATAGCCCCGATCTGGGTGAACAACATATCCAAAAATCACCCAGATCGGTTCAGGGGTTCAGGAATTTCCTGGAAGTCATAGTTTTGACCGACCGCAAGCATGGCCCCATGCCCAAAACAGTTCCAGGGAAATCAGTGTTAACAGTCGGTCAAGTTTGGTAGTCTTTTACAGGTTTCCCTGGAGGGCCCATAGTCTGTGGGCAGGAGGCTGGCAAGCAGGCTCCTCCAAGAGCTTGTGGCAAACTCACTTGAAAAGGGGAGTTTGTCAAACTAAGTACTAAGTCATCCCTGCATATTTAAGCCTTAACTAATTCTGGCTCGCTAATGTTGTCCTGATTTCTCACGTTTGCCCGAAGTTACTTTCATATTTTTCTACAAATAACATCTTTTAATAATGAGTTTGCTGTTTTAGGTTATTCCTGGGTCATTTTGTATTGCCTACTTCTTACAACTCTGTATGATCTCTAAAGGGCCGCCACCAGAAATTTTGGGGCCCCTGACAAAGCACAAGGTCTGGGCCCCCCGCCGGCCTCCCCCCGCCCCCACAATGAATGCAGTGTGTGTTAGTGTAATGAATGCAGTGTGTGTGTTAGTGTAATGAATGCTGTGTGCGTGTCAGTGTAATGAATGCAGTGTGTGTGTCAGTGTAATGAATGCAGTGTGTATGTCAGTGTAGTGAATGCAGTGTGGGTGTCAGTGTAGTGAATGCACAATGTGTGTCAGTGTAATGAATGCAGAGTGTGTGTCGGTGTAGTGGATGCAGTGTGTGTGTCAGTATAGTGAATGCAGAGTGTGTGTCAGTGTAGTGAATGCAGTGTGTGTTAGTGTAATGAATGCAGATTGTGTGTTAGTGTAATGAATGCAGTGTGTTTGTTAGTGTAGTGGATGCAGTGTGTGTCAGTGCAGTGAATGCAGTGTGTGTGTTAATGTAGTGAATACAGTGTGTGTGTGTGTGTGTTTAGTAGTGTATGCATGTAAATATAATAACTGTTATTCCCCCCCTCCCTGTTTCTTACCTGGTCCAGGGAGGGGGGAGATTCCATGATCCCTGGTGGTCCAGTGGCATTGAGGGGCCCCTCTGCTCCCTATACTTGCAGAGGGGGCCCAGCAGACTGCAGCTGTACTTTACAGCATTTCCCTCACTCTAACTCCCACTAGATGTGGTGTGCGCGCTGCGCGGAGCGTTGCCATGGTAATCATAGTCATTTTTAGGCCGGCTCAGGTATTGTGATTACTTTTACTGTCTTATTTGTAGGGTCTACAAATAATGCATTGCTTAAACCTCATTCAGTCATGTTCAGTTTAGGCATGAAGTTATAGCCGATGTTGATATTACTGAGATATTCTACCATTGTTCTAGCATTTCCTGTTGCTTTCAACCATATTCTTCCATGCCAGTTGTGTATGCATAAGTGTTTATCATCCTCCTAAGCATTCTGCATGTAGGTCTTTTTAACATATATCTTGTATCTCCTGTTTCTTCTTATATATTGTGTACAGCTGTCACGGCCACTAGCCTGTTCAGCCACTATGGCATTCTAGAGGCATGGGTCTCTGGTCCCATTTTCGATGCTGTCTGCCTACACCCCGTTTTATTTGGCTCCGTGGGTATGTATTCTATGATGCTTTATAAGTGTTTACATACGGTTTCTATTATGTTCGCCGTTTCATAACTAGATGATTATTTGTAACTCCATCAGGTTCTCTACCATCTCATCACCAACATGGCAACTAGTTAGATTCCCAAGTAACCAATTTAGCTTAATGGTTTTGCCACTTGGCATAACATAGGTCAGCCAGTATCTTGGTGTTATAGAGTATCTCCCACTAACAAATTTTCTCTATCAGGTGTGGTTATAAATGCTGATAAAATGTAAAGTATGGATTACATAATGTAGACAGGCATTTAAGTGTTAAACTTTGAACTTTTTGCCCTCTTTTTACAGGCATACCCGAATGTCGGTTTCGGCACACACCAACCGACTTGTGTACCACTAACATAACTCGGCTTACTGTCCCCGACTACAAATGGAAAGGCGGAGCCTGTACTTGTGGTACGGGATATTGCTATAAATACACAGGTCGCCTCTTCCTCTGGGCTGAGACTGTCTGGTTCACCCCACCCACCACTGCATTTATCAAGCCATTTAAATTGGTGGCCCCTCTTTTTACAGGCCTACCCAAATGTCAGTTTCGGCACACCACAACCGACTTGTCTACCACTAACATAACTCGGCTTATTGTCCCTGACTACAAATGTCTGTCGCTAGCAATTATCTCCTCTCATCTCCCCTCTCTCCTTTCTTCGTCTAATACCTCCTTGCTGTCTCCACCACCCTATCCCCTTTTTGGATGTTTCTTTTGGGGTGAGGGTTAAGACATCTTCTTCCCTGGTCAGCCCTTGCCCTCCATTCCACACTTTACTGGCTTAGAACGTGCGCATGTGCTCTGTATGAGATGCATGTGATTGGACCTTGTAACGACCACCATGACGTCAGACAGAGTTGAAACCAGACAGGGATATTCACCAGGTGCTGAATTCCAGGTAAGTTTGTTGCTTTTTATTAGGGTTACTTATAACGCTGGGCAGGGAGTTAGTAATACCCAATAGGGTATTAAAATAAAATAATAAAGGTTAAGAAACAAAAATGTTGTTGTAACCCTTTAAACATTACATTTGACTTTTTTTCTTTAATGACTTCAGCAGCAGTAAGGGGCTCCCTACCTCCTCTGGCACTAAAATGGTTAAATGTCCTCCTATTTCCTGCTGGTTGAAGTGCAGGCCTGTGGGATTATACTGGCGAGAGAACTGTTAGTGTGAGTGAACATTCTATTTTTAATATTGATATTTTATCAATAGATGGAGAGACTAAGGACACTGGAGACTGATGATAAACTCACACTAGATGGGAACCTCCAGACAGACATTCCTTGCCACATACACAACTTCGATCTCCATATTGATCTCTCTTCACAGTTGATTAATTCAATTAAGCCACAGTCCCTGCTGTTAATTGATTTTTGCTGCAGCACTTCTGGGGAGATTTTCAGTTTAAACTTAATTAGTCTTATTTATATTCTGAGCAATATCTTTTTACTTATTTAATTCATTTTGTTATAGTTTCATCTGTTTTGAAGCAGTTTATTTAAAGATTTTGATATAAATCAAGTGAACACATTTAGAGAGTGGATTAAAGAGGAGGACCCAGCTGAACATTATACACGCCAAGTAACATTGATTTCTAGCTCAGGTGATCACACATTTTGATTGGCTGGTTTTCGTATTGCTGGCCTCTGAGCTCTCTTCCCGGTCACAGGAGGTCATTCTGGCCAGTCACATGCATTTTCAAATGTCCCGCTCACCTTCCCTTTGTTATCTCATCACGTTTGGTTGTGATGTTGTTGCAAATGTTGTTACGAATTACCCAGCTTTAATCCAGGCTCATACAGGTCATTGTGTATAGTAAAGTGCCTGTTATTTATCTATGCTTTATATCCACAGGATTATTGTGACCATCATGGTTTAGCCTTGGTTCAGATGGTGTTGATCGGGGCTTACCATTTGTCATC